ATCAAAAACACGAATTTCGAAATAGTAAAATAGTAAATTATTTAAATTTTAAATAATAGATAGAAAGTCAAGCAAACATGTTTATAGTACAAACTATTGTATTCAACTATTGTATTCAACTATTGTTTTCTCAGTCCTAGACCAGTTTGTGTCCCCTAGGAATTTGCCAAATGTCCCCTCTCGGGGACATGTCCCCCAAGTTGAAAACCCATGCTTTAATGGTATAATTCGGTATGTTTTTCTGCCACTTAAAACACGTAGAAATCTGAAGAAAGGCCGTATGTGTGACTAATTAACGTTGACAGCACAGTCAATGAATTTCCTGGACCTTTTTCCTACATTCAAGGATCTGAAACTGGAAAAATGATATTAATTTATCCTATTTGAAGATCAGCAACACATTCCTTAACCGTTGGTCGCTGCATGAGGCACATAAGTCAATAGGACAATTTATACGAGACAAACTAAGTCGCGACTTACCTAAGACGCGACTTAAATAAGACGCAAGTTTGTCGTATAAAAGGTACAAAATTCTTATGTAAGACGCGTCTTGGATAAGACGCGACTTAAATAAGAACAGGATTTTTAGCTGTTCTTATTTAAGTCGCGTCTTAAATAAATAATTTTTGATAAAAAGTCTAACTACACATGCCAAAAACTTGAAACAACGTAAATTTATTAGCCTTGTATATTAAAATAAAAACAACCAAAACAACATTATAGCTATAGCAAGTAAATAAGACTAGAGCCGTAAAGAACCATTTATACGATAATTCCGCTTATACAAGACGCGTCTTATGTAAGTCGCGACTTATTTTATTCCGTATAAATGGCCCTATTATGTTCTCGCTGGCATTTTTTTTTCAATCTCAAATACTAGTATACTACACGGCTAAAAACGGTCAGTTGGTTGTGCAATAGTTGATGAAAACAGGATTGAACAATGTTTTGCTGCCCACATTGTTCACAGTTGTCATTGTTACACCCGATTCAGGCTCAATAATATTGTTCAATATTGTTGACAAGTGTGAACAACATGGGCAGCAAAACATTGTTCAATCCTGTTAAATAGCAGGCTCAGCGTTTTTACGCGTGTAGTTAGTTCTGTCGTTGGACACGGAATACTTCGTGTAAGCAGGGCCGCCGAGAGGGGGGGGGGGCAGGGGGGAGGTAAATTGCCCCGGGCCCCGAGGTGCTGGGGGCCCCTGAAAAATTTTACTTGGGCCCCAGTCTTTTTGTGTGTTAAATATTTCCGCGCAAAGGACAAGATATCTGTTTTCTTGGGCTAAGTACCGAAATTTGGCATAAAAAAATGAGATAAAGTCCCTGGAAAGCAATAGCAACGTACTTGTCCGGAAAAATTTTTTACCCCTAAAATGGTACACTGACCGAAAATATTTTGGTGACGGGGAGGGGGGGGGAGGGAGGTTGTTCTCCGGAAAATTTTTTTCGGGAAAAAATTTTTTTGATAGGGGCCCCCCCAAAAAAAATTTGCCCCGGGCCCCCGCCAACCTCTCGGCGGCCCTGCGTGTAAGTAGAGTACAAATGATAAGATAGCGACCGCAAATGACTACTTATATTACAAAATGTCCAAATACTTAATTCTAACACTACATGAGAAATGACCAAATTTTGAAAAAAATTACACTCATGGCCACTTTTCGTGAAAAGACATATCAAGCTGTCAAGCTGCTTAATTTACGAAATATTACCGTATCACTCATGTTTACAGTATCAACCATGTTTCGTTCGTGAATTCTTTTTAAGAACACCAATTCATTTGGCATTGAATTTATTATAATGAAGTTCAAAACAAAACAAAAATACGAAAGAAAACGAAATACATTATAGCACTCACTTTATAACAAACCCCAAAATATATGAAATGATATATATAATGTGAAATACTTACGTCGATGAGACGGACATGTTGAAGTTGGGCCACGTAAATGTGGGTGATCATTTTTATCATCAAAGTCACATGGATTATGCATGTCATCTATAAAACAAACAGATTGAGTATAACATTTGCGCGCTATATGCGTCCTGAACTGAGACTATATACCGTCTTGAACTGAAACCACAAAAATAAAGAAAATATACCAGTATAATTACAATTAGACCGACGGCCAAAAAATATAAAATATAAATCATATTTCGATCTTGCTTAATTCTAATCATGCATCAGTTTGCTTACCATCTGATTCAGAAAGGTCCCTTGAAAGATCATCACTCAAAAAATGCATCGGACCATTTGGATGAATCATAAGACTGGGTTTCCCCTCGTAGTCCTCCTTTAACTCTGCCGTAACCACACCTAGAATATTAATTTTAATCAAACTTCTTCCGTTACAGACATTTCACCTATAATCTGCACGTAAGTTCCAAGGTTAAACGCAACCGACATATTTAGATTAATATTTTTTCACTTTTTAAGCTGTGTCTTCAATATAAAACCCGTAGCCTGGCCAATATATACAGCCTGCATGTGTAGCTGGCGGATTTCCCGCGCCTCGCCTCTCTATTTTTTCTGCCCGCGTCTCAATCCCAACCCCTTAGAACCGCCAGCTACGCAGCATACCTGTTAGCCTGCGAGCAGGCTCTCAAGGTGAAATGACAATTTTGAATATCTGCGTCTCGAATCGGGACGCGAAATTCTCATTGGTCAGATGCTATAATTTATATATTTCCGCTGAGCTCTATATATGTCAACTGCTGAAGCACTATGCAATAAAAAACACATTAACTGTTCAAATTGGTCTTGGCCATCTTATCTCAAAGCACGAAATGTTCTGTTTTGAGAAAACAGTATTTAAAACATTTAAACTTTTGCTTGAATATCTTATATTTTGAAAAACAGTATAAATTGTACGATCTAAATTTTAGCACGAAAGTTGTAAACAACACCATATAAGGATAGACATTCCATATTTGGAAAAACGAACGTTACGGGGCAGATATTCAAAATTGTATGTCATCAGTGCAGGCTTTCATTTCACCTTGAGAGCCTGCTCGCAGGCTACATACCTGTAGATTTTATTTTTGTGGAGGTAGCCAATCTTTAAATGGAGCTAGACTATGCCACATTCTCGTGCCCAGAGCCCGTCTTACACATGGTCAACAGAGCATGACAAGGGTCGCAGGGTACGAGAATGGGTTGCGCCGCATTTGCCGCAACTGCAGATCAAAATTTAGCCTCTGAACGAGAACAAAATGCCAAGTGTGCCAATGTCATGTTTATGCACGTACTCTGGGTATTTTAGTCTTAACAAGTACATGTGTTATTTATTTAATACAGAATATAGAAGTGCACACTGAGAGTGCATTCTTGCAGTTATTCCAGTTAGTCAGTAACTCCGGGTTTAGATAACAAGCTCCAAATGATTTTTGAAGTTAGCAACACAGCACGTAACTGCAAGCTTACATACCTAGCGGCTAGGCTGGCTCGCCTCGCTACATACGTTTTGGTGTTAGCAGTAACTCAAGGCTTAGATACTTAGCTTTTTCATGACTTTTGGAGCTATACTTAGCTCCAAATGATTTTTGGAGTTAGCCAGTGACTCCAGGTTTATACTGTAGATGCCTAACTCCTAAATGATTTTTGGAGTCATGCAATATATTACTTAATTCCAAATGATTTTTGGAGTTAACCAGTAACTCCAGCCTTATAGATGCCTAACTCCTAAATGATTTTTGGAAACAATTCAAATTTCAATTCAGTTTTGAATTACACAAGTTACTGTACTCAAGTGTATATTTTGGTTTGGAGTTAGCCCTTAAGCCATAGACTTTGGAGGTAGCGTCGTTCCATAACTTGCTACTTTCTACAGGCATGCTACGCAGGTTACAATACATGGATACGGAGGGATGTCATGCATATCCGCGTTTTATCATTTTATGGATATGGTTCAAAAATGTTTTTCATGCGCGAAAAAAGGTTTTTTAACCATATCCATAAAACGCGGATATGACTTAAAACGCATGAAAAACTTTTTCAAATCATATCCGCGTTTAATTAATCATATCTGCGAAACGCGCGGACATGACTTAAAACGCATGAAAAACTTTTTCAAATCATATCCGCGTTTAATTAATCATATCTGCGAAACGCGCGGACATGACTGGAAGTGGAAATAGACAATTCCAGCTATCGACTAAATTTTTTTATCTAGACAAGAAACACGAAATCTGTCATTATAACTCAAAAGAGCATCCTAAAATTAGTAAAATTGCAAAGTTTGGTTGCGAAATGTTGTAAAATACGAAAAATATAGCCTGGTGAAATTAGCGAATTTTGAGTATTTTAGTATTTAATTTAGAATACACACGGAAAAATTCTTCACTTTTGAGCCGAAAGTGGTGCATTTTTCTGTACGGTATTGTCTTGCCTTGTCTTTTCTTGTGAGCTTTCCGCATGACTAAACACACTTTTTTACTATTCTGTCGGGATTATATACTTAAGTTATGAATATGGATTAGGAAATCAACCAGTGTGGAAGCTCATTGTGATTTGGATATAATTTCTGGCTTCTGCTAAGATATTTTAACTCACGAAATACATGTGAACACTGTGTATTTATCAATTTTGTATTAAATTTTATAATATAATGGGGACTACAAACATCACTTGTGAAGCCTGTCCATAAGAATGTGTGGATCTTAGAGCAGGACTTTTAAAATTTCCCTAGCTACGCCACTGCCTTAATACAGGGTTGTCTACAGTATGTAGCATATAAGTAACAGTAATATATAGTAACAGCAGCTGTAACTGTACAGGGCCATGTTGTTAATTGTTAGTCTTCTTAGTCTTGATTGAACAGTGAATTGAGGTTGCATCAAGCATAGAGGGCAGTGGTGATTTGCTTCTGATCCGAAGTGGTTTGATTGCTTAATCATCAGAAGAAGATCAAATTTAATCATGAGAGTGTTTTCATTGGTGCAAACTTCTAAGACCCTATAGTGAGCTTTTACTGCATTTGAGCAAGCCAGAACTATATAACCATCAAAATTATTCTTGTGTTCTGACTACCAATTAATTCTTAACGAGACAAATATATTGCAAATACCAATTGACACCTGAACACAATCTGAATAAATGTCAATACTGTGTGCTGAAGACTTCACATGAAAGACACAATATACAGTATATCATGTATTCTTGTATATATGGTATATTGTATGTGTCTTCTTGTTAATTCAAATCTTGAGTCCATAAGATGCTATGATTGTTCATAGTTTTCCAAATACTAATTGATTACTTGATATTGATTGCTATAAATTGTTATTGATTTTATCAACCATCAATTTCAGTCTGATTGCAAATCAAATGCTGGATAAATACAGTACGGAATGATGGGGGAAATCAAGTTTACTGTGTATTACATTATTTAAACTACATGTACTTAAGTTGTTATTGAACTCCGAAATGAAAACTCTATATACAATTTTAAACCCAACTAGGAGCAGCTGCGAAAACTGCAACTACAAGCAGGCGCCGTCGGTTGTATCAAAGGCGTTTAACTTAAACAGTGTTTAGCCAGAATAGCCGCTACCCAGCGTATAAATTTCTTAACCGGCGGATAGTTAAAAGGCTGATAAAATTGCGTTGTATATGATAGGCTGTTGCGGTATTTGAAAAAAAACGAAAACCGATACCGGGAAAAAATACCGATAAGGCCATATAAAAAAAAATAGTTGGTTAGCGTCCTTAGCTTTTGCCAAAAAGTGGGCGGGCGCTTTTTTTTTAATTTTTACTAATTTTTAACGCCTTGGTTTTACTCACTGTTAGGTCCGAAACTGGATTTTCTTGCGCAGTACAGATATTTTTTTATATATTTCAAAATATAATTCATACCGTCATTTTTGCACGCAATTTCGCAAATTATTAACACAATTGACTACAGTCAACAGAAATACTACATATATTAGAGCCCGTTGATCAATAAAAGTCGGGGTTTTTTAAATAAAAAATAAAAAAAAATCCTGAGCGGGGCCTTTTTTGTGGGCGGGCGGGGACGCTAACCAACTATTTTTTTTTATGTGGCCTAATACCGATATTTTTTCGCGATTGTACAAAACACCCGGAGTGCTCAGAGGGGCCCGGAAATCTCGGTAAAATGTTCGTATTGTTTATCATCGCTTTATGTTTGTCCTAAGGGACCGGTCATAAAGTAACTACTAGGGTGGGCCGGAGTGATTTGGGATGGGCCATGGAAAATCTTTCGGCAGTTTCGATGGGCCGCCAATTATTTTGTATGTCTACGGTTGGGCCACCAAACAAAAACCCATGTCTACTTTCATCCAGGGGCGTAGGAAGCCAAGGGGGCCTCAGTGCCAACCATGGTGGCGCCTTGTGGGAGTCGGCCCCCCTAACTTTTACAAGCTTCCCTGCTTTCATCACTTATTATGATAAATATAATAGCAAATAAGATTTTAAAATCAAACATAATACAAATCTAACAGGGCTGTACACTGCACAGAGGGCAGCAGGGACAACTGCCCCCCCTAAAATTTAACTAATTTTATAATGTGATTATGCTTGTAACAGTTAATTATGCAGTCAGGAAATAACAATTTCATGCAAACAATATTCAACGTGTCTATACAGCCGGCTATTTAGTAAACTGTCACTTGTCAATCCATA